CTACTTGGAACTCAGAGCTCAGGAATCGATGGATTGTTCTAAAAGAAACATTTGCAGAGCTTAAAAAAGAAACGCAGATAATAGAAATTCACTTGTCCAACTAAAACAAACGACGAATTCGCTTTAGAAATTAAAGTCGGAAAAGTTTCACTAGCAAACTTGAATCAGGTCCACAGCCTTGACAATACTCACTGAAACTTCCTTTCCATCCAACAATCAAACCATTGTGTTCATTTCTAATTGGATTGTTATGAGAAGGATCGCTATGTATTGTCTCCTTTCACTGGAGATATATTATTTTGAGTGACTAGTGAGTTTTATGAAAGAAAATATTCCACTTGGAGATATTTAAAAAGTTTCTGGAACAATAAGTGTGCTAGATACATTCAATCTCACATCTCAGTATTGTTGTGAAACGAGAAGAACAGTGTCGTATCAAAGGTCCTCTCAACTCCCTAGCGACACTGTAGCCTTTTAACAGAGTTGAGTTTGATCAATCTTGTCTCTGCAAGGTAAATTTCAAACTACTTGTGAGCCTATTTTGATATCAAATCAAGAACGGGTTTTGCTACAACCAGCTTTTGACTCGTTCTCGATCTGAGAACCTTTCTTTGTTGGTCACTCAAAATTAAGGAAAACTCCTTAAAGATGTAAAATGGTCATTTTCCAATTTCAATGACATTAACTCTGTTTGGCTTGCGTTGTGAGAACTAGAACCTTTCCTTCTATGCAAATTACGCTCAAGGAGCAATCTTTGTTCGATTACGAGTTATAAAGAAGAATAAATCGTATATTCAACTCTAGAATTGGAAAGTATACAGAGGACAGGACAATAGTAAAAAACTGACCAAAGGTTGGGAATACTTTTGTCTATACACAAATTCGTACATAAACTACTTACGTCAAGGAGGATCGAACCTCAAACGATTCAAGGCTATTGGTTCGTTCTCCACCTAAAGAACTTTTTGAGACTTTTTGACTAGAATAACAACGGTAAAAGTGGTGATGCTTTTGCTTCTCCTTGCACATATATTTCAAGATTCACCTTTCTTTGTTACTTTGCCAAGAGGAGATGAAAGATTCTTATTTTTCCATTGTTTCTACGTTTATATTCTTTTCTTTTCACTAGTAGACGAAATTTATCGAGTATATTTAAGAGAGTAAGACCTTTACCAGTTTGGATAATCACATTATCAATTTGACTCTGCACAATTTTATTCTGCTGAATAATACAAAGTTGAAAGAGACATTTTCCTTCTTTTTAGAGCAATTTGGATAAAAATATCTTTTCTTCTTTATGTTTGACTTGTCCCTATTGGAAATGAACGTTTCTTGTATTTATAGACAGTTTGTTTATACAAAACTTTGAGTTGTCTTTGATTCTTGTTATAAATATCTAAAAAGAAGCCTCCACTAGTGTATCCATCTGTTTATATTTCGCGAGAGTCTTCTGCCTAGTGTCTAACGCGAATGACTTTTGTATTATGACTCACTTATTCAAGGAGCTGATGGATGAGAGAATGGAAAAGAGTAGGAGACAAGTGGAGCTAAACAAATCTTTCCTTGAATTTGCAGAGCTTTTAAAAGTTTTGTTTTCTTCGTACTGGAAGAAATAAGAGTCCTCTTGGAGTTATCCATGCCCTAAAGCAGCTTTTTACTGTCTATAGTTTGCTTTCTTATCTATGTTCACAATTTGTGGTTTCTACAAAGTTCAAGAGAAGGCAGTGAAAACCTTTAAACGTAAATAGTCATGTTTACCTTCAAAAATACCTCAACTATATAGTGGGCTACCTGGAAGAGACAATTCAACTATGAGTCAAATGCTATGATGAAAAGCGAGAAGAGAATAGATAGGATTGACTCGATTGAACTGAATTGAACTTTTTTGAAAATAAGTTTTCTCTTAGCAGAATCCACAGTATCAAATATCACTATTGTCTGCAAGTATTTTCAGAGGAGAAAGAAACAGGAGTTGTTGACTCCTACAGAAATTGGATATTGATGATATGCACTTGTGTGCAGGAGAATGACTCGGTTAATACACCATTGCAATCTTTCAAATATTTCGGAGATACCTTTAAACACAATTCAAAACTAAAAGCTTTTCGTTTGAAGGCTATTTTTGGTGTCAATTTGCGATATTGCAGAGTTGTAGCAATGATTCAAAATGAATAGACTATACATACATACATGTTGAATACAACTAAAATGAAAAATATCCTTTCTTGTCCAAATACTTCGTAAAGTGTTTACCGAAGAATATCTCAAAACATTCTTCAAGTGTCTGCTATGTTGTCTTTCTAGTTTGTTGAAAAAAGACTAGTAACTCCTTTTACTATAATTCTCAAAGACTGAGACAGAAAAAGTTGTTTGTAGATTTCACTTGGACTGTCCTTCCTGTCTTTTGTTAACTGAATAGAAGAGAGTTTTCCTCGGTTTTAGACCAAACGAAAAAAGTGGCGGCAAAAACTTGAGGCTTCAACTTGAGGACCTACACTGCGGTCTTAAAAAGAGTTTTAGCTTCTTGAAATTCGATAAAAGCTTAGATTCCTTTCGTTTTTATGTGTTTTTTTCAAACTGCATTTCTAGCCTTGGAATTCATATGAATGGCTCCTACAAATATGAAACTTGTTGGATCCAAGAGAAAATATAGCAAAGGTAAGAACAGATACTAAAAAAGTATTTAAGTTTGCAATTCAAACTCTATCTCAAAAGTACTAACAACACTATATATCCAAACGCTGTTTTAGTGAATTAGACTGAAAACTCACCGATTCTCAGACAAGGAAAGTAACCCGGTTGCAAAGATGATGTTCGATCTAAAAAATTTCGTTTGACTATTTATAGTACAAGAGACATCTTCAATGATTCAACCCATTTGGACACTGAGACAAGAACTTTCTATTTCAGACAATCACCATTTACATAGGAGTTCTATTTATATTGCATTGCAAAGGTCAACTTTGAGAGTGGAACAGAATTGTTTCTAATTAGTCAAAGGAAACCATATCCAATCTTGAAGTATTGTCATTCCACAACAATCACTTGACCGATAACTTAGGAACTACAACGTCTTTCAGTCAAGAGTCATGTTGGGTAAAGGTTCTTCAATATGGAGTGGCTTTCAGTTGGAGAATTGCTGAAGCTTTCAAGTTGGTACACTACTCGACCTTGACTCAAGTATAAAAGACTTCTTCTTTAGTAAAATAATTTTTTGGCTCTGTCTTTTACTCTTTTTTCAGCATCGATGTGCAGAAAATGAACGGTTATAGTTACTACATTTGAAGCCTTTATTGATATTTTTATATAAGACATATTCACAACTTGGTAAAAGTCGAACAAAGAATAGACAACTTGTGTAGCTATTACATCAATAATGGCTTGTATTTAATGATAAGTCAGTATGACAATCTACATCATACTCTTATCCAAACTCATTTGGATACTTTTGTATTTATAAACTGTGCTACGACCAGTTGCACATAAACAGACTTCCTATTCATTGCAATTATCTGTTTCCCACTGTATTTCGTGTGTAACTTACAAAAGGTTTGTATCTTATTAGACATGTATATAGGAGTTTACTTATAGGATGGTGTGGAAGATAGTAGAAAAACTCTCTTACAGTATACAAGCCATAGAAAGAGTACCAATCAATCTAATTCACCACAAAAACTCATAGAAACCTATTTCTTGTCTATAGTAAAAGAAAGTTTCTAGTTATTACAAGCAAGAAAATATTCCGGCTTTCTCTCTGTTGTCATTGTGAGTCTAGAAGTGTCAAAGAGATCAGTTCTACCAATCACCAAATAAACCAATCGCTCGAACAATAAAACATACACTCTCTTCCAACTCCTTTCTCCTCCTCCAAGTGTTTTGTTCTTAGCTTCTTTGAAAGTTTTTCGGTCATTGACTTATTCATTAGTTGTGAATTGATTTCGGATTGGCGTCGGCGTGTAAAATGAGTTTGAATGAACCGTTGATAGATAGAAAAGAAGATGTTTATTCTATTCTTCGAGCTTATTACTACCAGTTTTCTTGAGTTGGGGGAGACTTGAATCTTTTACGTCCTGCAGCTTGTTTTTCCCCTCACATCTTTGGAGCTGGGAAGAGTTTTGTTGGTGAAAATTTTTTAGAGTTTTTAAAAAAATTCGCCGACGAAGAAGAAGAGCAGACGAAGACGGAGGTTTTCAACAAGAGCTCATCGGGAAAAGTTGATTTGAAGATTTTTTCTTGGAAACACTTTGCGGAAAACACTTTGTCAGTTTGCTTTCAATTAGAAGAGAGCTTTTCTCGTGCTCCTTTTCCAAGGTTTCGAAAGGCTTTGATGTATAATATTATTTTGAACGCTTACCGACCAAATGGTAAAGGTATGGCTGCTCTTGAGATTGTTGAACACGGACGCGTCGATGAATTTTGCTAGTGTTGTTTTTTTTGATTATCTTCTCGAACAATTTGAGAAACAATATTTATTTTTGATGATAGACGAACTTAGCCAGTTGAGTTATCTCACTAAATACTATAGTGAACTCGGCGAGGAACAGTTCATCGAGTCTGACCCAAAATATGTACCTTTTCGGAACTTCTTCCGCATTTTACGTGATTTGTTGATTACAGGGAAGGTAATTGTCTATTTGGCAGGTCGAACTGCTGAAATCTCAGCCCCCTTGTCTGATACTCGCTCCAGTAGTGTCACCCTCCATATGTTGCGGTTGAATCCCTTTAACCTCCGTGATATTAACAAATATCTTGAGCTGGCAAGTTATGATGGAAAGTCCTTGAAGGACTGTTTATTGCTCTCCGATGATTTACGACATCGATTCGTAGAATTGTTGAAAAAGAAGACAGGAGGTATTCCGTTGATTGTAAGGAATACTTTACTTGCCCTAGTAGGGAAAGTTGCAAACTTATCTCAACCTGTTGTCAACAATGACAATATGGAACCCTTATTAGATAGAATCTTTCGCTTGGTACTACTCGAGTCGGTGACGTTTATTGTTCCGGAGATACTAGATTCCGCAACCCTTCTTCGATATCAATTTGTCCTTTTGAATTATCAGCTCGGAACAATTTTTCCAATTGACTTTGTAATTACTCTATGTGGAACGAGAACTTATTTGATGGACTTGCTTGCAACTTTTGGGTTTTATTCTGAAAGTTGTGGAATTGACGGGATTGATATGGGCATTGAATTCAAGATTGGTTGTTGTGAATTTATATTGAGAGCTCATAGCAACTACAACTTTTTCCGTGAGGCTACTGAACTCTTTCCTTTATCTCCGTTTAGTTATATTCCCGACACTTCAACAGCAAAGGGAGTCTTCTTTGAATTTGTATTTATGAAGATCTTTCGTTTTCGCTTATTAACTTTTCTTCATTCTAATTCCTGGCCTATTGTACATTCTGCTATTCCAGGAATTTTCCAGGGTTCTTTTATTGAACAGGACAATGTTTCTTATTCTATGGAATCTACAAAATCTTATGATATACCCATCTTGAGAAATGTCTCTGATTCATTTTCTGACTATTATAGAGAACATTTACAACGTTGTGGTATTTTTGTTCCAAAAGATGGCAATTCTAGTGGTCCTGATGCATATGTTGTATTCCATAATGGACAAACACGTTATGTTGTTGGATTTTCATTTACATTTTATCACAAAACTGAATTTTCGAAAGCAAATATTAAGGAAGAAGCCAAAAAATTTTTTAAGGGAGTTGTTTCCGTTTTGAATGACGGATCTTTTTCATCTGTTCAACTTTGTTTTCAGTTTGTGGTGGTAGTTTGTACTCGATATGATCGATCTGTAGGTTTCTCTGTTGAAGAACAAAATATTGTTGAGGATGCAAGTTATTTGGTAACTGAACATTCTACTACTGGGTCAACTTTGAATGAAAGTAGTCGATCATGTATGCAATTGATAGTTGTTTCCCAAAGGAACCTTGAACGATTTTTGGGAATAGATAATGTCGATATTTTGAGGAAAATTGGGAAAGCAAACCGAGAAGAGTTCAGTAAAGACTTTTCAGTATGGTGTAAAACTGTCTTTGAGTCGATGTCCAATGAATATGTTTCATCTTTGGAAGCTGCGCAGTCAAATGTTATTTCAAGAGTGGCTCGACATATGGGACGGAGAATAAATGATGAGAATCGTATGCGAATGGAAGGTTTTCAAAGTTCTATACAACTGGAAAAAGATAAAACAAGAAGAGAACAAGTATCGAGTGGTATAAATACACATTTTGACTGGAAAGAGTTTCTTTGCAAGTCTGCGTTATTACCGGAAGAAGTTGCCACTCGTTATGCTTTGACATTTCCTCGTATATTTGGAGATAATCCTCAAGTGATTCGAAGAAAGTCACTAGAGTTGATGGGTATACCAGAGCAATACATTCAAAAAATTCTAAGAGCTGCAGTATTATTGAAAGAAAACACAGAAATGAAAGAATAATCAGCTGCTTTCAAATTTGTGTTATTGAGGGACATTCTTTTTAGAACATAGAGTGGAAGGTGGTAGAGGGGGAGAGAGAGAGAGAGAGAGGGAGTTCTTTGTGCTTTTATTCTAATTGAAGCTTACAACAACAAAGCTTATCTCTGTTTGTAAGCTTTTATATTTTTCCATGAAAACGGACGAATAAAACTATGTTTTTTGTGTTGAAAAACGCTGGTTGAGTTTAACTAAAAAGAGAGGATGTGTGCACTCAATCTTCGAACTCATTGTTGTTTGGCTGGCACGTAAAGACACAAGCTTGTCAGTTATGCAAATTGGTCATCTTTTGAATACTTGAACGAGCAAGTTGAGAACATAAGTTTCATTGACTAAGAATTTGCTTGATCTGTTTGTGGTTTCTATGCAAGGAATGATCCAGAAACTACTTCGTCGTTATTATACCTAGAATCTTTAGTTTTTTCACTATTTATTGCAAATATGCGTCGAGTAACTTCTACTTGTATCTAGCAATGCCAAGGACATATATGTGGCTTGTTCCGTTCTGTGAAATCTTCTCAATTTTGCTTTTTCTTTCGGAAATTTTGTCATGTTTATTTTTCTTATGAATGTATCCAATGGTTTTTATTTTTTGTTGCAAAGTTAGCAAGTCATCATAGTCTCGTGAATAATGTTTGAAAAGTTGAGAATTTGGATGTAAGAAAGTGAAGAATATATATATGAGGACCATGTTATACTTATAAAAAAAAGATTATCTATAAATAAATAAATGCAGTACTGAATAAAAATGACATGTTGGTTCAGGGAGACTATAGAAGAATAAAGATTCTCTCTCGATCAATGCCTTATTCGAACCTTCCTATGCATTCTAGATAGCAACACTCTTGAGACCGTCATGCGTTTTGAATCACAATATGAAAGCCACAGCAAACAACGATTCTTCTGATGAATTTGAAGAGGGAAATGTATTCAAAAATGGCCTTGACAATTGAGAAGCAGAAGAGTCCAAGGCCAACTATGAAATCTAGTGAAGCTGCCTCAAGGGGACGTAAGTGGTAAAAGTTTCAAAGATTAGTGATAGCCAATGTAATTGAATCCTTGTTCAGCTATTGTAGAACAGCCTTGACAAAAAAGTCTTCCATAGACGGGACTATAAGGGATTCTTCGAGTACGTGATATGATATAATGAGAACCTTTGACAGACAACTTTGCTCTGCACGGTGGAATACTTGAATTTTCGTTCCGGGCACCACTTTCAACTCAATACAACAACCTTGTCGATGAATTGCGCTACTGTTATGACAGGCAACCTATGCAAACTTTCACTGCATCTAATATTATTATGCTAGTCAAAAGTGAACACAAGAGTTTGATTAGCAGAGACATGTGACTCAACAAGAATAAAGGTCCTCAAATCGACCAAGGAGCTCACTTAAAGTCGTTAAGGAATTGGTTGCTGAATTCTGTTCTTTCTTGAGGCTCTATCACCAGAATTAAAAGAGAATATACTCTTAGGACACAATTTATGACCAAGCTTTATGGAATCCTCAAGATTTCTAAACTCGAAAGAAAAATGCTGGTTAAACTCAACTTGTTTTTGCACTTGCAACGACAAGTATATGTTTTGTTGCCGTTTCTTCACAATCAGTTTCTTTGGCCAACATTGATTCCTTTTGTATTCTATAATAACAAAAATTTAAAAACACCTATTTCTCTTTACACTTGGCTTCTCTTTTCATAGAATCCTAAAAAGCAGTACAAAAAAACGTACGGCACTTGGGGTTCCCGAGTGATCCCTCACCTCAGTACTAACCAAGCCTGAGGGCGCTTAGCTTCTGAATTCGAAATGGGTTCAGGCGCATGTGCCACTAGTATGGCCGTACGTATTCAGAGAGGTGTAAATACTGACT